GTTTTATTTTGTTTTATTTTATTGTTAAAAAATTTTTTTTTTTTTTGGGATGCGATTAAGAGCTCCTAAGGATGCGATTTGGGAATTAATCGCACTCCTTTGAACCAATCAGATTGCAGGATTTGGTAGTGATTACAAAAAGATGTGATTAACAGAGTAAACAACACTCCAAAAGCGATCGCTGAACTTTGATCAAAAATAGCGAGAGATAGAAAACAGATATCAAAAATCTGGGACATCCTTTTGGAGCTTATTATCTCCTGAGTATGTTAAGACATTCTTCGCAAACATAGCTTAAAATGTACGTGTCCGTTGACGTTTTCACTGAGGCATGGTCAAATTTCGCTTCGAGGACAATAACATGAACAACAATAAAAAAAATCGCATTTTGAAAATTTCTTCATAAACTATATTTATTCAGCTTTCAGAAAATGTATAGTTTGTTTTTGTTATACTATAAAGCCAGCGCGTTGTTTAAGTTTGCGCGCATAGTGGTCGTAAACGTATCCTAATACCTTAAATGCCTTCACTCTATATGGCATCTGGTCAAAAAGTGGTTATTTTCGAAAGAATAAATAGAACTAGTTAGGAGATGTATACCAAAGCCTTAGAGCGCACCAAAATACGTCTTGCACTCGAGAACTTGATAAATTCAGATCGGTGAAAGGCAGTTATCGATTTTACTAAATCRTGCATGGCCTCGACACTGCAGAATAGCTACATCAGATGCTTACCGGCAAGATACTAACTACACCTTTGCACGCATATATGATGAACAGGCCGGGTTTCTCCTCTGGTCATTTGCTTCAAAACTTGCATTGGTGGTTTACCTCATCGACARTTAAATACGTACCTTAAATTCACATTTTCCTGATTTACTGCAGTTCATGCACTTTGAATCGTAAGTCACATGTCGCAGTCGTTGAACACTAGTAGTGAATCCATCGTTGGAAACCGAGATCATAAGTCCCCCAGCCGGGGTACCCTCGTGTTTGTAGTCACCAAGTCTAGTTGGTGGCTCAGGCAGGTTGCACTGAACACCAAACAGATCCGTCATTTTCCCTTGTGATGTGACAGGAATTCCACGAGGAGACCAGGTACCTGGGTAAACCTAGGATAACCATCACACAGACGTGTTACCTTCATATTCAACCACAGGCTTTACAGAAAAATCATATTAGTCACCATTTGATGACTCTAGAGYTCMGATTTTTRAATACACAAAACTCATGTACAGAGTTGCCTATCGGAACCTACTAATGTGAGCTTTATTAAGATATATTTATCTATCAAGATATATGAWTCACAAGAAATACCTYTTCWTCCTGTACATGGCATGTTAGGTTCTCCGATTTGATAAARTTCTGACCCAAGATATTTGTTCTTTTACATGGTCGTTCTCGTACATCACAGAGTCCACTATCGTAAATCCTAAACATTAAGTCAAGAGAAAACAAAGATATGACTTCTCGGTTTTCTGTTTTCAAAAGAATTTTATTTAAGGTACATTTTTTCCAACCAAATTGGGAACCATTTAATCATTGCATTTACTAGATTGGAAAAATATCTATGAATTAGTATTCATAAAAAGAACTGAGAAAACTTTTTATTTAACAAGGAAATTAAGGAAAAACRAATCATCATAAAGCTGTCAAAAGCTGACACAATTACCAAAAATGCTATACTAGACTTTCAATGAAAAACGTTATTTCTCCATGTTTCCACCATCAGTTACTGTGCAAGTATGGTTTGTATTCTACTTACCCCAACAACTCAGGAACTGAATTAACCTTCATGGAACAGTCCAGTGCAGTATAGCCTTCBTCACATATACAGGTTCTGTTCTTACACTTGCCACGTCCACTACAGTCTGCAGGACACAAGTCTTTTACTACCTCTCTGGGAGGCATTAAGTCACCMCTCGSAGTATGAGTGTAGAGTGAAAGGTTCTTTAATGAGGTATCTTCACATATGTACTTCATGGTGTCAAATGCCAACACTGCAAATGTCTTGTCTCCTGACAGCTAAGGGCGTGGAGATGAAAGCAAATACTAGAGTTAATAGCGGARCTAACACGCGGGCCTTCGGGCGGAGCACTATACTTAAGAAAAAAAGGGTAAACCATCGAGTTGATTTTTCATGGCTTGGCTGACGTCTCTTCCTTCAGTCCGTCCGTGTACACAACAACAAAGGAATCCCACTTGATTTCGAAGCAAAACTACTGGGAAATGCACACAAAAAAATCGGTTTGGGACAAATTATGCGTATCAAGCTTCACTCTATATGTTAGTGTCGAAGTYGGAGAAGAGAAAGCTCACTCCATATATGGTATAATAAATTCCATATTTGGATTGTGCGGAAAAGCGGCAAACAAAAAGCCTGTCGTTTTATAACGAATTCGACATGAAAACTTTTGAAGAAGAAAAGAAAAGAAAAAAAGACAAGTAAAAAAGAAAAACGAAAAAACGGGAAACTCGAGGAAGGATACGGGGACGATGCTAACTCGTGGGTCTGCCTCGCAGCAACAGACACAGAGAAATACGACACTCTATGTTTGATATGCATATCGTAATAATGCACCCTTTCCTGTTTTAATAGATGTCACATTAATTATCCCTACCAACATTACCTTTAGGTCGTTGACACACTGTATCATTGCATTTTTCAAGTTGGTTTCCGAGAACTCCTTGCATGCCTTTCCTGCTTTTGTTTCTTGGATATGCGTTTTACAATACTGGGTTGCCTCATCTTCTGGTATGACTTCTCTTGGTGATCTCTTGCTTCGTATGCGGTTTACAGCGAGTTGTACATGAGGATCATCCGCATAGTAGCTACGTTCCACGTGATCAATGATGTCATCACTATACCAGTGACTGTCTACAGATCTTTTCATGCCAAACTGTAATTGGTCATTTATTTGAGTATTAAGTACTTTTATCTGAGTAGCGTCGATTCTTGTGAAAAGGTTTGCGTTGTCATCACATCTTTCATCCTGTGTTGTTTCACCTTCGATGCCACAATAGCAGGATCTCCCTTGTTCAACTTGTTCTTCAAGTTCTTGTTCAGGGAGAACCTCAAAAAAGCTCTTCCCTTCTTTAAGACTGTTAAAGCAATATAAACAAAATTGTTATATTTGTGCTTGCGCATGTGTTATCAGTTCTATTTGTGTCATTGACTTACCGCCAGCTTGCTGCAAATTGTTTTTCATCATCATGAGGTTTACCATCACCTCCTTTGTTCCAATCGTCTTCCCGATCGTCATTAAAGTTATCACAAAGCCCCAAGACTTTTCCCTTGTCAGTAGATGGTGCATTGATACGAACATCCAGTGACCTTCCAGAACGTTTTACTGAGACTCTGATACCCGAAGACAGAATTACCTTTACATATGAAAAGGAAGCATTATGATAACATGAACATTTAATTTTTGTTTTTTTTAAAACGACTGTTTTTAATTTTCGTATGATTTAAATACCAGCTTTCTTATTCATCACAAAAGTACATGAATTGGTATCTCAAATCAAAATTCATTTTTTTTAAAAATAATAATCAAAAATCAATATTATGTAAATTCAAATAAATAATAATAATATTGAATAAAATAGAATATATTCACACGTCGTAAAATGTCATTGCTGAACTTCTCGACATGGCTGGTGTAAATTAATGAATACAAATACAATTGAAATTAGTGTCGCAGGTAGTGGCTAACAAACCTGTAAACCTAGTTCCATGGTCGAAGTGAAATTTTTAAGATCAACTTTAATTGCGGAGAAAGGAAAGCCTCCGAACCCAGGGAAAAGCACTCGAAGTACAGAAGTCAAACCCTACAGATAAACTCTACTATAATAAAATATAAATATAAATAAATAAAAATGCTTCGCGTTTTAATGGAGCAACTAGACTTTTAAATTTTGAATTGATATTTAATTATCTAATTAATTGATACACTTATAGTGAGTCATTAAACTGATGATGGACGATGGATATCGTCTGAAATATCTTATTCAAAAAAATTCTAGTCATTCTTTTCGTATATAAACTTTTGGCCCAAAGAAACATATTCAAATTGATTTTATTTATATGCAATAAAATATTCTCATTCATTCCCAATTAAACGAATATCGCAGGGTTTTTTTAATGATGCTCGCACTCAAAGAGAATATTTTTTTAGAAATTTTGAAAATTATCTATGATTTGGCACTTAATATAGCCTTGCACCACCCCAAGCCCAACATCCCGCCCCCTCCCTGATCTCCTCAATTTGAAACATATTTTACCTGTACTTTCTTGGCTTGGTTGCTATACATGACGTAATCACCCAACTCGTTATAGAAATATTTTCTGCAATATTAATATTATGCATGAAACATCAATTTAATTTGTCGAGGAAGACCGTTTTGCATTGTTAAGAAAGGAAATTTCTTTAGATAAATTATATTTGAAATTAGTCGTAGAATTTAGTTCGGACTGAATAAAAAAATTTACAACTGAGAGATTTACCTTTTGTCAAATGTAAATGAATTAGGATCGGTGGTAGTTAGTCACAATCGTGTTTCTGTGTTATCCACTGTAACCTTAAAGGAAAAAGCACATAAACATTACAGCTATCTGGTTTGAATGTTGTAGAATATTTTGCTATTTTGTATCTGCTATTCTGCTATTCACGTCTTCAAGGTTTGCGAAAGATATTAATAGACAGATTAAGATTCCCGTTTTTTCTTCCCGCAAACGGCAAACGTGACCACGTTTTCATCGTTTCCTTTCATTTCAATTTACCTTTTGCAAACCTTCTCGACAAATACAATCTTTCTTTATTCTTTATCTACCACTTGGATATCTTTTCGATTCCTTTTCAATGATTTTAAAGATTTCACTGGTCAACTGACGTTTCGCATTTACCTTAATTAAATGAGAATCTTAATTGTACTTGCTTAGTCGTACGTAGCCTCGATTGTGTACAAATGTGTTCTTTTCTTTTGTTAAGGGCCATTGTATAGAAAGGGATGTACGTACTAGGGAACTATGCCAGTTGATTACAATGCCACGAACTGTGGTTGAAAAGCTGAATATTATAACGCACATGCAACCGTGTCTAAGGCTGAGCTAAGAGACCTCGAAACTGAAGTATTATTCTGAGGTAGCTTTTCAAGCGTCACCAGAAGAAAAGAAAGAATTCATCGTAAATGGGGAGATTTAAAAATCTAGATAAATTATACATGTCGACATCGATTGGCATTCTTGTAAAATGAAGGACGTAATATAATATTCCAAAGCCTCCAAAATCGGACTGGACAGCATTTCAAGTCCATGCAATTAGTTTCAGTCGGAGGAGCAGCCGAGGACTGGAACTAATTGCTTGGCTTGAAATTCCGTCCAGTCCGATATTCGGAGGCTTTAAAATGACTTCTCATGCTCATTAATTATTGTTAATCATCTTGTACCTTGACAGCTGGCATTTGATAGTTAACCACATCTGACCACCTAGTGCTTGTAGTATGCGGTTTGAAACGAAAGGAGAAGCTTTGTCTTTGATCTTGTTGGTTGTCACAGATTCCTCTAATCGTGATTGTTTTACCACGAGTTATGTCTTGTGTCTTCAGTTCAACTTGGCATTTGTCAACTGCAGCTTGTCTTCTTTGTGCTTTGTACTTTTGGGGTATCAACACAGACACTACTACGCTGTCAGATCCAGGGACATTCATTGTGGGTAAAATAGGAACAGTTGGTCTTAAGGTAACTGTTATGTTCTCTGCTACGTTGCATTCTTTGACAATCACGTGACGTGGAGAAACCTGGAACAAATACAGATTCTATCAAATCATGAATGCACATCTTTGTCACTAAATGTTACTTATCAAGTCAAAAAGTCTGAATATCAAAGAGACAGACAGTTCTAGGCCAAATGAATTTAGTAAAAAATCAGAAAATCTAATCTAAAAAGGAGACAAATTAGGACGCAAGTAAACAACAACAACAAAAGCGCTAGTAGCAACAGCAAAAGGAACTACAGGCTGGAACCTACCTCGATTCCTACGTAATAATGATTACTGTCTTTTCCTGTTGCTGTCCATTTATTTGTCTTTTTTGTAGAGAACTTCATGAAAATTTTGCACTACACCTGTTTATTTAATTTTATTAACATAAATCTAGACATTGCGTAAAAGCGGAGCTCCCAATAGGCAAAGGGAACCAAGACTACACAAAATTGAAAGATGGAAATAAAATCGGTAAAAGAATTCCAATCGTTTAATTTTTATTCGAGATCAAGATATTATCCTTTTTAAAAGAATCGTTAAGTAAAMAAAATCCAAAATGCACTACATCGTTTTCTTCGCGCAAGGCTTATTCGTTTTCGATCTTACTTGTCTTCCTTCCTTTCAGAATATCTTTAGTATCATCACCAATAGACAATTTGAGGTTTTCTATTCCAGCCTATGTGTCACTCTCTTGAGAACAAGATTCTTTGTATCAAATGTACATCCATATTAAAATGTATCATCTCACCAAGGGCACTAGGACACCGAATGTGGTTGGATTTCTATAGGTTTTTTTTTTTTCCTTTCGATTATTTGAATTAAATTAAACGTATATACTTGTACTTATCTTGTGTCCGTGTTCCTTCGCTGTCATAATGCAGACGCTTTCTTTCAAAGGTCAAATGGTTTGAATAGCCTATGAGCGTTACTTCTTTAACGGCCGTTCCGTACTTGACTCTGTTTGTACTATACCAACAACAACGCGAACGCGCGATGCTCCTTACGTCAGTAATATCCAACCGTCCAGAGTTAATATGGTCAATCAAATTCACCTTAAGTTCATGGAACTTAAGGTGAATTTGATTAACCATATTAACTCTTAACACCTTAAGTTCATGGAACTTAAGGTGAATTTGATTAACCATATTAACTCTGGACGGTTGGATATTACTGACGTAAGGAGCATCGCGCGGTCGCGTTGTTGTTGGTATAGTACAAACAGAGTCAAGTACGGAACGGCCGTTAAAGAAGTAACGCTCATAGGCTATTCAAACCGTTTGACCTTTGGAAGAAAACGTCTGCATTATGACAGCGAAGGAACACGGACACAAGATAAGTACAAGTATATACGTTTAATTTAATTCAAATAATCGAAAGGGAAAAAAAACCTATAGAAATCCAACCACATTCGGTGTCCTAGTGCCCTTGATCTCACAACGTAAAAAAAACTTTAGGGAATGGCACGTTCTCTGAAATGGGAAGACCATTATACCCAAGCTGAATGAGTCTATCAACATACAGTGACTGTATATGATTTGGCATATATCTTGCAACTTACCGTGTCGCCTAATGCAAAGTGATCTGGAAGTACAATGGAACTTTGCCTTCGTGTACAATCATTCTGAGCATCTGCTGGCTGGTCTGGAACACACCACATGTCCTTCTTGACAGGTTTAGTTGATCTTCCATACCATTCAACCAGGTATGAGACGTTCCTCCACACAGGAAAGTCAAAACTGCAAACCATCTCCATCTTGGGCACAGCAGAGTCATTACGGTATGACACAGATGGCTCAGGAACGTGGTTGATTGGAAAATCTACAGCAACATTCGAAATTAAAATAAAATTCAAATTAGTCAGTCAGTTAGCGATATAGCTTCTTATATATAAACTGCAAACTATTAGTTGTTGAATACTAAAAGTTAAATGTTGCGAAGGGGCAATATAATTATAATAATATGGTTATAGTCGAAAAAATAATTTCTTACAAACAGCTCCCAAAAAGCAGTGAAAGTCGTAATTTAACAAATATTGCAGCATATACTTTCAGTTAAACAGGAGCAATGGCCTTTTGGGCGTGAGACTGAACTTATGATATGCAAAAGAGAGAAATACGTAAAGTCCATAATCATGCATTTCAGTCAAGAATAGCACGTTTACAAATTGCTTATAAAATTGCAAGGCTCGATTAGTATAAGTGTATTGGAGTACAATWTATCAATGGGAATACCGGTGCAGTTTTCTCTTCCTTTGAGACAAGGGTTACCTATACGAAAAAAAGAAAACAAAACAAAACAAAACAGAAAAAATGGCAAGGAGATATTGAATAAGGATAGAGATAAGGATAAGGACGGCGTATCAGTGAGAGCGCATGTAGCCTGGGTCTCGGCATCGTATGTGAGTAGAGTTGATTGTTGGTTCTTTCCTGTGCTTCGAGGGTTTTCAGATTTCAACGTTTCCCCTCCCTCCGTAAAGAAGCAAAAGTTAAAAATTCCAATTGAGTTTTAGTGGTAGAGAAGCCACTGTGAGGATAGGCCACTGTTAAATGCAATGTATTTTATTTATTTTTTATCTATTTATTTTAACTGCCTTATAGTAAAAATGTCTCTATACCAGGACATGGCACGAGTAAAACACTCTAACCATGCAACATAATAAGCACTAATTAGACAATCAAGATAAATGCATTACTCATGTCAGTTGAAAGTACCGTAAGATGATATGTTGGACGATTTTCATATGAGGGTAAACATAGGGTACTGACTTACAGCACGGGCACGGAATGACAAACCATAACATTATTTTTGCTTCACCTTTTCTTTAAGTAATTCTACRAATCACAAAGAGTAGATGCAATTGAGGTAATAAACAATACAGTTTAGCAACAATTTTGCGCAGAATATTCATGTTTGAAGTTGTGAATTCTTTACTTTTGGTAATGATTTGAGGGTAACCCTGAGTAACTGAGTATGCAATCAAGGAACATTGCTATAATTTGGAAATCGAAAATTGTCTTTTCCCCGTATCGTTTCCCACCCATGCAAAAACCTCTCTATTATCATAACACATTACGTATTGAGCAGTGACGTCCACGTTTTAGCCATCCTGGACAACAGTGGTAGTGAGTGTAAGTCTCTTCCGGTTTTTCAATTTTGTAGCTCAAATGAGGTTTACCACTAAAAACCAGTGGAAAAAATAAAATATTATGCAGAATGTTAAACTAAAATATCAAGGAGGGCAAACGTCATGTAGATTTTGACTACACTGATCAGGCAATTGATAGTATTCGCATTATGTTAAGAAATTGGCGCCAATAATTAACAACAAATAAAGAGAGGAAATACTCCAAAAGGAAAAAGCAACTGATACTTTTCTATTACATGACTGAGTCAGCAGTATTCCTTACTCGCAAAAATTACTTGGCCATGGAAAGTAATCCCAGCAGTTAACATTTATAAAAAAATGTTGGACTGGCCTTGTTCTAGCCTCAGAACACACGTTTTGTCTAAAAGAAGAAAAAGAATAAAAACCGTAAGCGGTTCCCTAGGGCCATTTATGCCCTTTTGCGGGAACCTTAAGGCTTGACTTAAAAATACTCATGATATATAAATAATAAATACCAAAAAAGCCTTAAAAAGAAGGATTCAATAAAAGCTAACTGACTATAACGAGGCATTCTGCGGTGAATTTTCAATTCAACTTAGTAAACTTTAACAACTTACTAAAATTTGCTGTTTTAACATAAGATTTGATACATCTGTTTATTGCTTGGTAAATTACTTTAAAAAATACTTAAGCTAGTGAGATAGACATTCTAAAAATAATCTGGACTTTCAACTACGTCATCGAAAATTTTCTAATGATTTTTTGTATATGCAACAGATATAATGACTTATTGTATATACAACAGAACCTCTACAGGCCAATAATGCAACTATATATCAAAACACTAAAAATACACTATATATCTCAGCGATTGATTATACCAATAATCACGAAAATTGAAAATCAGGGTTTTTCAGCTTTAATATCTTAATAATAATCATCATCGAAATAAAGTTCATCTACTAAGATAAAAACGTATTATTTCAATTGAATTTCCCTATTTCTAATGCTTTGAAAATGAGCGCAATGATTACTGGTAATAAATCTAAAACCAAACATCGATGATATAAAATTATTAAACTAAACATCGATAATACAAAATTATTGTGGAAAAGCTTTTCTTATAACGGTGTAAACAAAATATGCAACAAACAGTTTCGTGGAATAAATGCTTTGGATTTTAGTTTTTTCATGACGTCATGTGAACGCAAAGAATATTTAAATACTTCATATTTCTCAGTTTTCGATTTGCATGCTGTAATTAATTCAGTAAAAACAGCATAAAATAACTGCCTTTTTCTCAAAAAATATCATACTCTATTTATTTTCTCAATTTCACTTTCAACACGATACCATGAAGAAACTTACCCAGAGGGGTCTAGGTCACTTTCTCTGCTCTCTTTCACCACCAAGAGTAAAATAGCAACTGTAGCCAATGTCCGAACGATGCACTTGTGATTCATGTCTGTAGAGTCAGATATGAAGATCTTCTAGTCCCTGGTTACACATCAAATAGAGGTTAGTCCAGTTGTGATTCATGTCTATAGAGTGGATATGAAGAT